CGTAACGTAAAACGTAAACGTAAACGAACGAAACGTAACTTAATTAATTAAGTAGTAGTACGAGAAAGGTAAGTAAGTAAGTAAGTAGTACGTACGACGTACTCTCTCTCTCTCTCTCTCTCTCTCTCTCTCTCTCTCTCTCTCTCTCTCTCTCCATATCTGATCCATGCTATGTATCATAAGAGCAGAGGTTATCAAATCCCATGTACTCCCTATTCAGAATCTTGTGTACCATGTTTGAGATGCCAACTCCACCTGTTAAGTAGCACAAGCCAATCCATCACATACAAACCATAGAAATAAAGTTTAGTAACTTTCCTTTTTATCTTTTTTTCCCTCCATTATTGAAATGAGAAACTAAAGTTAATAGTTTCATTGGCTCTCTAAGTGTAACTTATTAATGTCATCTTATTTATATTAAATTATTATTAAAATATCCTTGATTGTTAAGAAAAACTAACAAAGAGTTGGAAATTTTGCCCACACATCTATAGGCAAATATGAGTAACGGATTGTATACTGAAAGACCATTTACCTTTGGCACCAGAAAAAGTCATGGTCAACCCTAACCTTCGAGTAGTGAAGGCAAGCTAATGTGCAATTTCTTTGCACAAAATTCAAGAAGAATTTTCTCAAAGTGCTTCAATGCAGTCAGTGGCACACCCCCAACTGCCTAATTTGACATCTAATGGCTAGCGATGATTGTGGCTGTTTGTAGCAAAACTAAATGGCCATATCATCTACTTTCTATGCAAATAATTTAGTTGAAAATAGTGTTCTAGGACATGCTCGAGTCCACTCGGACTTGGGTGAGGAACTCAGCCTCGGCCAGAGTTGGGGCAAGTTCCACAGCAACTTGTCCCACCCTTGTAAAGCTCCTAAACAATATTTAAAAATAAAAAATCCTAGAAAAGGGGAAACACCACTAAATTAGTTAGAATTAAGTCTTTTTTATAAGGAAAATCGTTTCATACGGGCTGGACGACATGACTACATATGCGGTCCAAAAACTGTAAAGCATCCATCTTAAAGATGGATGCAGGTAGGTGTTCCATCTAAAAACATTGGAAACTAACGGTCCAAATGTTTTTATTACTAGAATTATTATTTATAGTTTTTAAAATTTATTTATTTATTCATATTGGAGATTGCATGTCTTTAAAAATTAAGTCCAAAAATTTATCTCAAAAATAGATTTATCAATAGGCCCGCATTTCTACATATGCAGGCTTGGCCGCATAGAAACCGGGTCCTTTTTATAATTTAGATAGTTTTTTAGAAGATTTGGAAAGTTTCATATTTTTTCTTCTTTTTAAATTTTTCTGAAATTTTCAACTTATAAATCAAAATTTTCATTAAGATATCTTTTATAAATTTGTTTCATCTTTTTAATCTTCTAATGGTTCTTTTTCCTTCTTTTAACTTTTTTTCTTATTTTTAACTATCTAGAAAAAAAAAATCGCCTTTTTTTTTTCACTATTTTGTGTTGTACATAACTCGGCCTAGTGCACTCGGACTCAGCCGAGTTACTCAACTCGGCCAAAGGCGATGTACGTTGGTCGAGTCGATTTTTGAAACATTGGTTGAAACTATTGGATTACACAAAAGAAAATATCATTAAATTGATCGAACGACTTGGGAAAAAAAAATCAACGAGATGGAATTAACAACAAAGTGATCACTTTTAAAAAATCTTTTCATTTAGGTAGCTCCTCAAGAATTTTGTAAAAGAATACCCTTGTTACAGGTTTTATAAACCTTGAAAAACAAGGGAATTTGGCTAATTGGATCGCTTAAGTTACTTGAGACGCAGAACCTAAATACCCCTGCTTATCCTGGGTTCCAAACGAGGAAAATGTTTTCTTACTACAAAATTTTGATCACACTTCAAGTCACCCAAGCCAAAGACATAAATATTCTACTTGTTATGGCTTCCAAACTTGGAACAAGATTTTTTAATGAAGAAATGGAACAACAAGGGGTATTTAGGTTATTGAGCTTGAGTAACTTTAGTGACCAACATTACCAAAGTACCCTCACTCGCTAAGGGTTTCAAAGCAAGTACAAGGGCAGTTGGGCATTTCCGGACAAAACATTTGAGAATGTAACCAAGTGAAATGATTATCAAAAAGTAACTACTTTCTTGTAATTTGGTTGATTTAACCATCCCATTGAGCGTTTGAAGTGGTTTGACCATTTTATTGATATTTTTCAAAAAAATTGGGAATATGTAAAATGACTTTAAATGTTAATGAAGAAACTAATGTCAAGTTTCTTGGCATTGAACCAGATACATTGTAGTTGAGATGCTTACCTAGTGTGATTGTACTCATAAAGATCACAAATGAGAGAATGAATATAATCAAGGAAGCCCTCCCTAACAAAATAATTATCTTCCTCACAACATGCTGACCCACAAAGGCGGCCACAGCAGCCACAAGAACAAAGTAGGCAGCTGCAAAATATATAGGAAAATCAATCTCACTTTCTAGCTCTAGAGTAAATGAAGGAGAAAGGACTAAAGAAAAATCCAATCTCTTTCTAAGCTAAAAAATAATAAAAGGAGAAGAAGAAGAAAGAAATGAAAGAGAAAACGAAGAATACCATAAGGGACAGGAAACCGCTTTAGAAGGTAATATTCGACAACCGACATGGACGAGGAGAATATCATCGCAAAGGTTGCAGTAGCACTAGAAACCTGCAAAAGAGTTTAGTGCATTAATCAGGAAGGAAAGTCAGCAAATCAGTACTCAAAACAATATGTTAACTTAGTTTGAGAGCACATTTAAACCTACATGATAGAAACACACAAAATACTAAACTGCAACCCTCCAATCTCATCTCTTGTATATTTAACTGCTTTCATATCATTCGTTATTTATAGTAGCAGGATATTAACATTGTTATCTCTCAAGTCATGTATTGTAAATCAAAACAAATAGAAAAAATTTGAAGATCTATCTAAAAATCCCCTTGAGAAAGGAATAAAGCATTCACTTAGTACCCCAAAATAGGCTTCAAAATTATATGTAAAAAGATTAATAAGTGGATCTAGTTGTTGGGTCGTTCGGCATTACGAGTACTGTAACAAGGACATAATGTAAACTTGGAAAGGATATTTATACCTGAGGTGGGACGCCTAATTCCAAGAAAATTGGCCCCAATATGGAGCCTCCTCCAACCCCAAGGAGCCCACCAACAATACCAGCCAGTATTCCACAGAAGCAGTAAAGAACCAGCTGGTGGATTTTCCAGTTTGTCCCTGCATCCCCATTTGAAGCAATCACTCTCCATCCTTTGTATAAGCTAACGGCTTCATACAAGCTAACACCCATAGCAATAGGGACCTACAAAAATAGAAAGACAATGTGTAATTAATTGCACAGTCTGCTACTAAACCAGGCCTGAAAAAATCGAAAGCAAAAACGGCTTCTGAAAAATAAATGAGGAAAGTATAGGCTACAACAGTGATGTACATTGTATGGTGTATGGTGCAGCAAAGGGGCATCCACCATCCATTCGTACTGATATGCATTGAAGAGTAGCCGTAGTTGGCCCATTGTGACATTCACAAGGATACATTTAATCATTATCATCCCTTATTGGGAACGGATGGCAAATTCCCTTTGATGTATATTTAACGTAGGCGTATGGTGTACCATTCCAAATGAATACCATTTACCTGTAAGAAGTTCAAAACCCAGTACTCTACCGAGCAAGTTGTAGTATTAGTCTGCAAGTAAAATAATAGAAATACGTTATGAAATCGAGAGAGGAAGAATCTATAGTCATATGAAGGGAAAAACGTGAAATCATGGATTTCTGCATGAGAAATTGTAAATAAATAAGCTAACCTAAATAACTACCCAACAAAAGAGCTAACCTTCATAATTTGCAAGACAAGGAAGGCAACCCAGACAAAGACGAGGAGGCCGAGTTCCTTCCAGTAAACATTCTCAATTACAGACACCTGGACAAAAAAGTTAAGAAATCAATCCACTAAAGTATTTAAAAGCATCAATAGGTCCTATGTATCAAAGGGGAAAAATTAAGAGAGCTTTCCTGTTCACCTCTGCATCTCTTGAAGCATTGGATTGTGCACTGCCATTGTCTGGACCACTTGGAAGAGGCGTGTACTCTACTTCCTCACCTCCTGAAGCAAGAACTATATAAAGATTGTGAGTTTTCAAAGAAAAATCAACATAAATGTTTAGACTCCACACATATGTGAATGCATATGTATATACACATACATATGCAGACATGCACATACAGAAATGCGCACATACATATTATGTATGCATACAATGCACACATACATGACAAGGGGGCACAGCTCATGTCATAATTTAGCATCAGGGAAGGAAGGGTTGAACAACTTACCATTCGATTTTGAACTCTCCAGATGTTCAGCTGCTTCCTGCGATAGGAGAAGCAATTCAACCCATGGTGATAACTTTGAAGTTTCACTGATTTTAGAAAACTAAAGTAAAGATACCTTCTTAAGTGTAGTCTCCTTCTTCCATGTTTCGACACCTTTCATGAAAGCTTTTGTTGATATTCCTATGTAATGGAAGCAAATCACGTCGTCACATTGAGTTTAAAGGAGGGTAGAGTCATCAATATTCACAAGATGGAATGATGGAATGGGTTCTTCATGGACCGTCAGAATATTAACTACCAAAAGAAAATCATAAGAAAAATAATTACCAAAGAAAAGAATGATCAGGAGAACAGTGACCATCCAGTCCGCAAAAATCACATTGAAGGCTACTCCAATGCTAATTCCCAACATAAGCATTGGCTGGAAAAGCAAGGCCAAGTCATAGTCTATAATGGGCACGTCTAATGTGGGGTGTCTGAGCTTAAGATTGTAATAAACAGTTGATCCAGCTGCACCCATGATCATACCTGCCCAGAAAGATGTTCACGTCTCATTCTTAAACTGGGTGCCATTTATTAGAGAAAAGACCATAAATTACCAAATTTATCTAACGCAAAAAAATCCATGGTCTTCTTGTACTCCTTTTTCATGCCAAGTAAGGCTGCCAATGGGCTGGGCTCATCATGCTGAGCCAGACCAATGGCCCGACATTTTTTTGGCTTTGTCCACGCCGGAAAGTAAAGTGCAATTTGTGGCCCAGGACCAACCAAAAACTAGATGTGGCTTGCCTCCAGCCTATTTTCAGTTATACAAATGGATATACTATGTATATAATATAGAGAAATGCATACACCACAGAAATGTAGATAATATATAAAAATAAATGTGTGTGTGTGCATGCACAATATTGAACATTATATAATTTTTTGTGCCGGTCCAAGCGTAGCCCCACCCCAGCAAAAAGTTCTTTGTACCTAGTGACCTTGCCCTAGCCTGCAGCGGGCCATAAAGTGTGGCCAAAAGCCAGGCCCAGCCTGGCATGCCATGGACTGGCCAGGCAAGGTCGGCATTCCTAATGCCCAATTGTACAAGCCTGCATTATCAACTATAAAAAGAATATTCTTGAGTAAGCATGGAATATATCATAACTAGGCCTTGTGGAGACGATAATATATCATGCTGCCATGTTTATTAACAGGTAAAACTATAAAAAGAAATAATGTGGGGAACTAAGTGAAAGAATATTTGCTTACATTTTGATATAGCTGTTGAAGATTTTGCATCAAAGCCGATTATCAAGGTCAGCATGGGAACAAATATTCCTCCTCCACCAACACCTCCTATACTCCCAAATGCCGCTCCAAAGAATCCAATAATACTACCCAGAATAATTCTCCACCCAAAATCCATCTCCTATAGAAAATCAATTTCGATTAACAGTTCAAATCTAAATGTTAAATGTTTACTGGTTTTAATTTGGCCACTAAGCATTATCAGAAAAAGACAAGTTCACAAGTTTTATAAATATATTAATAGAATCTTTAAGCATTTACCGCTTCAAATGGGCTACTGTAAAAGAAAGAGCAAACACTCCTCTTACTTCTTCTTCTTCTTCTTCCTTTTTTCTAGTAATTGATGATTGTAGATGCTCAAAACGTGGAATTATAAGCCAAAATAGTAATAATAATAATAATAATAATAATAATAATAACAACAATAATATGAACACAAATTTCAATAGATAGGAAAATACATAACTCATATCATGATATTAAATGGACTGTTATGTAGCCTGGTTTTGAATTTTAGCTATTATGTCCTCTAATTCAAAATAAAGTCAGTCCAAAATTCAACTGAAAATCAGAAATTCATAACAGAGATGACGAAATTTTAATCTGCCATTTTATTCAAACTTCAGTCTATAATTGGTCCAAAGTCCTGAATATTGGGGAACCATTCCAAAATTTGTATTTTGGCCAAAATATTTATGTTACTAAGACCAAATTTCCATAAAAGTAGAAAGTTCAAGGTCTAATGCTCCCATTAGAAATCAAACATACTCTACAAGGCGATCATGTTCCAATATGTTTGCTCTGAGGCCCAACCCTTAAATAATTAGTAGTTACCTAATTAATGACATAGACAAATACACCTTATATGTAATTTTGTAAGATGTATAAAAAACTTAAACAAAAAAAGAAAACTCAAAAACCACCCGAGCAATTTAATTTCAACCTGAAACTTTGATATAAAACTAAAAATATTCAAATAAACATGTAAATCTCTTTAAGGAAAACAAAATGATACAAACCAAATATAAAAAAATGATATAAACCTTTTATTTAGTGTTACTTTGGTGAGTAATAGTGGCAGTAGGAAAAATGATATAAACTGTATTTCATTTAGGTAGCACCCAAAAAAAAAGATAAAAAGGAAAAAAGAAAAATGGAAAACATTGCATACAAAGGAAAGTATGAAACTTACAGGCCAAACATGCTCGTAATTCGTCACGTTCTGTTGCCATAAGAAATCGATAAGTTTCAGAGCAAGATTACCATGCATTTCTTCTTTTTCAGGGGTCCTGTGTACCAGATTCCGCTCAGCTGATACAAATAACGAAACCAACAGAAACCCAAAAAGAATCACTGCAAAATATCTGGATCTCCTCCATATGTTCTCAGTTTGAGCCATTGTCTAGCAATAACACAGTGCCGTTGATCTTCTTCACTTAAAGTTTGTGGAATCCAAAATAAAAAATCAACACCAACAATATTTTGTCTATGAATTACTCCTTGAACAAACAATTAACTTCCTAAGTGTTTGCACAAATTTTTTGAATTCAATGGAAAGACAGCAACTTCCTCTGTTTATTTCATCCGTTTGATACAGCGTTTGGAGCCTGTAACAGAGGTTACAATCAAATGATTAAATTAGAGAAAAAACTTGCACTGAACAAATGCAGCAATCAAATTTTGGAATCAAATCTTTGTCGTAAACCAGAGCTTCGAAAAATACCAAATCTTCCTCCCAAATTTTGAGTTTCTTAACAACCCTTTCGCTAACTCTGTATGATTTTTCCAGCGATTGAAAACACAAGTTCACCAGCAATTCACACTCTAAATCTTTGCTCCTGGTTTTTTTTTTGCCAGGTAAAATCCTCTTCATAAATCTCCTATTTTCCAGCCACTTTTACTTACTAAAATCGCCGGAAATTTAGCGATTTCAAAGCTCTTCAACCTCTTTTTTTAAAAAAACAATTTTCAACGGATATCGAAACTCCGGCCTTTTCTACAATAACTTTAATGATTCGGACAAGATTCCCGCCAAGTTCGGAAAATCTAAACTTCCCTGTCAAATAATGCTGGAAAAGATATACAACGCCGGAGAATGTCGTGATACGCGATATTTGGGGGAAAAGATACAAAACGGGAGCTTGAAACCTCGGAAAACTTCAGCCTCTTCGAAAGAACTTTAAAATTTTCGACCAGTTTGTGGCCAAAGTTCCGGAAAAGGTATGCGTTTGTTGCCGGAAAATTGAAGCTGCCAGCCAAAATATCGCCAGAAACAGCGAAACAGCGCCTGGAAATGACCAGAAAAGCGATATTAGGGGGGGGAAACGATCCAAAACGTAAACTTCAATTTGTTAAAAAACCAGTTAAAAAAGATGAAAGATTCAGACCTGAACCAATAAAAACCAAAATTCGCCGTGAAAACTAGCCTTGTGTAGCACAAAGTGGCCTTCCCATCTTTGGTTGGCAAAAAATATCTGTATTTACAGACTTCGATTTGCCATGGCCCTTACTCTTTTGCTGGTTCCCACCCTTTTCTGTTTTCCGAAAATGCCCCTCATTTTCACAAAACATTTCGAGAATATACTGCCTTTATTACTCTTTAAAGTATAAATATAATTAAGAAGGAAAAAGTAGTTTACATAAGGTTGAAACCTAAAAATGTAGAATTAAAGATCAACTTCAAAAATCCATTGGAAAATGTTGTTTTAATGTCCAAAAAGCCTTTTACTGATCATCTCAACATCAAGATGTACAACTATAGAAAAAAAAGATTTTGAGTATAAAAAATAGTGCATCTTGCAACACATTATCTAGACTGTCCATTTTTAAGATTTTCATATGTGTATATATCTACTTGATTTAAACCATTTTTAGAGTTCAAAATTTTATAATTAGATACAAAAATAGATTTCAGATAAGGAAAAAGTTTATATAAAGTTGCAACCTTAAAATGTAGAAGTAAATATGTATTTCAAAAATCTATCAAAAAATGTTGTTTTAATATTGAAAAACCCTCTAATTGACTATCTCGACATCAAGATGTATGAATATGAAAAAAAAATAAAAAATTGAGTCCCATAAATAGTGCATCTTGCATCACAGTATCTAGACCGTCCATTTTCAAGATTTTCATATATTTGTAAATCTACTTGATTTTAACCATTTTTGGAGTGCAAAATTTTATTCTTAGATATGAAAATAGATTTTTAGGTATCTTAAGAATCATTTACAAGAAAATTAAATGTTCTAATAAAATTTGGAGTTGCGCTTTGATTGGATTGTTTAAGATTGCAACCTTATAAAACCACACCAATTAAGAATGGGTTGGGTGTGGTTTGTAGTTATAACTTTAAAAGATCAAAATAAGGTGCACTTCCAACTTTCTTATAAGATGCAATTTTGATATTGATAATTCTTAGAATGGCAGGAGAATCTACTTTATCTCAAATTATAAAAAATTAAAGTAAAAAAGCAGTCTAAATTAAGCAGATATATAAACATATGAAAACCATGAAAATGAACTGGTCAGTTAATGTGTTGCGAGATGTATCGTTTTTTGGCTTTAGATATCTTTCGTTTATCTACATCCATACATCTCTATGTCGGGATGATCAACTAAATGTTTTTTCAAAATCAAAATAGTTTTTTTCTAGGGATTTTTTAAATGCACCTTAATTCTATATTTTAAGGTATCAACCTTATATAAACATTTTCTAACACATGGATCATGCCGTGTTAGAGAGAGAGTTTTAAAAATGAGAGAAAGAGAGAATTTAAAAAATGAGTAAGAGAGATTTAAAAAGAAGAAGAGAAAGAGAGCAAGATTTCACATCAGTAGAGAGAGAAAGAGAGCTTCCAAACAGACAATACTGATTTAAAAAAGAGAGAGGTCAATCATGGAATGTAACTAGAGGGACAGATAAATCATAAGGGGTTAAACAGATAATAAGAAGTTATCATATGTGATGAAAAAAGTATTTCATAGAAGGAAAAAAATATACATAGGGCTGCAATTTTATATTATAGAAAGAAGGTGCATCTCTAAATTTCATTAGAAAATAATATTCTAAAGTTTACAAATCTTTCAATTGATCTTTCAATGGATATTACTCATAAAAAAAAAAAAAATTTCAAGTTTGAAAAATAATATATCTTGTAACAGGTTATCTAGACTGTCTCTATTCAAAATTTTCATGTGTTTATATATTTGCTCGGTCTGCACCATTTTTTAAATTTATATTTAAGATTAGACATTAATTTTTAGGCCATCATAAGGCTTCAAATACTTGAACTATATATTTCGGTAAAATTTAGAGGTATACTTTACTTGTATAATATAAGATGGGCACCTTACACAAACCTAATCCAAAAATAAAACCACGGTTTTATATAGGGGAAAAGTTTATATAGAACCGAGGCTCTAAACAATCAAATTAGAACCTACCTCAAAAATTTCACTAGAAGAGTCTGTTTTGATGCCCAAATATCCTCAAATTGATCATCTCGACATCAAAATGCATGGAAATGAGAAAAATAAATAAAATAGATTTCAAGTTTTGGAAATACTGTATTTTATAAGGCATTTTTTGACAAAAGATTTTCAAGTTTTCATAGATATGTCAATCGACACTAGTTTTCAAGCTTTAAACTTTAGAAATAAAAATGAAAATATATTTTTTAGGCTATCACAAAGATTTCCAGTATTGAAACTATATTCTCGACACTATTTGAAGGTAGGCTCTAATTTGATTGTTTAGACCCTTTATATAGTCAACCTCCCCATTTATTTAAAAATTATAATTTGGACATTAGAAAACTTGCAAATCATTACCTCAACTTGAAGTGAAATTTGAATTTCAGGCCATCACAAGATTTCCTTTTTTGAGTGGTGTTTTGAGATGCAACCTTGCCAAATTTAATAAAACATTCGTCTCACCCAATGATTAGAAAAAAAGTATCGGTGCCCTGGATTTGTCACCCAAAAAACCGTGTTGAATCGGTGGATGGTGATCCGGAGGAACTTGTTTTGGCCTAAAAAAAATCAAATATCACTTGAAATTTTTAAAATATAGTTTTTTAGGGTTTTTTTTTAAAAAGATATTGCATTATAATTTTTCATTATTTTAACAAAAATATGTAAATATTGAGAACATGTTTCATGTTTGAGTGTTTGGTCCTCATTACAATAATTTTATAGTCAAGATGAAGTTTAAGATACAAACATTTGTTATAAAAATGAATACATTTAACTCAAATTATTTATTTTTATAATCTCCAATACCACTTGTAAAGATAGGCAGGCGTTGCCTACATATTTTTTATTTTCTCCATTTTCATTAAAAAAATAATTTATTTCTCTATTATCATTGTTGTATTTGAATTTGTGCGTAATGTTGGGCCACAATTATTGGGGGTGGGGGTGGGGGTGGGGGTGGGTGTGGGGGCGGGGACGGGGAGAAGAATGAAAAAGAAAAAATCCAATCCAAGACAAAGAGAAAAAGAAAAACTCAATCCAATATTCAAAAGAGAAAAAATAAAACCCAATCCAATATTCAAGTGAGAGAAAATAAAACCCAATCCAAGAGAGACAATATGTATATTAGAGAGTGAGAGTGAAAAAGGACAACCCAATCTAAAATAGGGAGTGTCCATGTTTATGAGTGATAATGAAAAAGATTAACTAAATCAAAGATAGAGAGACATGAAAAAGAAAAAATAATTTAATATCATTTTTTTCTGTTATATTTGTTTTTATTTAATTTTATTTACATCAATTAGTTGAATTCAATTACACTTGATTTTTTTTTGTATTTTCTTATTCTCTTAAGATTTTTTTCTTTCTACAATCCCATTTATTAAACGAATTGGGTTTAATGAGGCCAATATAAAACTTGGAGGCACATTTCGGTTGCCTTTTTTGCCCTCACCCTACTTGATCTCTCTTAAAAAATAAAACAGCTTACAACTCTACAGTGTCTGTTATATTAACTCTTTTAGAAGGGTGCAGTTGGCATACGGATGCATCCGAAGCTGTAGAGGTAAGGTGTGCCTTCAAATTTTATCATGGTATATAATTTTGATGTGAAATGTTCTTAGGATTATCTCAAAATCTATTTTTATATTTAATTATAAAATTTTAAATTTTAAAAATGGTTAAAATCAAGTAGATTTATAAATATATGAAAATCTTGAAAATGGACAGTGTAGATAATATGTTGTAAAATGTATTATTTGTGATATTTAAAATCTTTGTATTTTTCATTGTCTTACATCTCGACGTCGAGATGATCAATCAAAGGGTTTTTCAGCATTAAAATTACCTTTTCCGATAGATTTTTTAGGGGCATCAGTAATTCTACATTATAAGGTAGCATCATCATATAAACTTTTTCCCTATTATATATTTAAAAATAAATAATTGATGGCTTATAACTTCTCTCCAATTTGTCCCAATCAAACATCAAAATAATGGAAACGGGAGGCGTCATAGATGATGACTTGGGCTTGTGAGTGGCCCTTTTTTAGGGAAAAAAAATAAAAATTAATAGAATTTGAATTAATAGAATTTGGATTATACAGATGAGTGGGTCACGCTTTGTAAAAAACAAAAAAAATTAAATTTCAAAGTGGGAATTGGTCGATATATATGTGAAAAGCCGGATGACCACTGATATTTGATCAGGATTGTAAAAAAACAAAAAAATTCAAATTTCAAAGTGGGATGGTCATTATATGTGAAAAACGGGATGACCACCGATAAAAACATCGCGATTGGATGATTTTTATCCGGATTGGTGATTTTGAAAATCAGATGTCACCAAAACTTCATCCAGTTTTATTACGTAACTGTAAATTTTGGAGGAGAATCGCTCTGTTTCAATATATTTGAAAAACCATATGACTTTACCAACATCAGACAAGAGATTGGACAATTCCGATTTGGATTGATAATTTTTAAATCTATAATCTCACAAAAACTTCATCCTCTATGGAGATGTCACATGTAACATCTTTTAGATTCTCCTGACCATGTGAGAAGTAAGAAGCATTTGCATGAGATAGAGAGAGATGTCACTCACATTAGCCTCGAGTTAATTTGACTCAGTCAAACGAGCAGAAGCAAGGTTTGCGAACGGATCAGAACTGGTAAATCTAGATAAAAAAATCGTTAGTATTCTTTTAGTTTTGCCTAAATATATAGAATATGTTATTATGTTGAGGTTGGTTTCTGATAGAACCGGTCAGTTCTAATAAAAGATCGACCAACTCACTTGTGAACCGGCCTAAAATACAAGGTTTAATATTTTTTAAAAAAGAACGTCGTACTTTAAAATATTTTATTTTGTGCTCCTCCGCCTAACTCACAGCACGCTACAACCCAGCCGATCTATTCCGTTGTCCATGACACCTATTTAAAGAGATGTGACAGGTTCAATTTGGCTTACATTAAACAAGATTAGATGGAAGCCAAAACTAAGAGTGTATAGTGCTAATATAGGTGTAGACTAAGGTCCAAAAAGACATATTGGTGATTGCGATCGGCCACCTCAAAAACTGCGTAAAAATCCGTAAATCGATAATTTAGATCGATCAGATAATCGGTCGGATTGGCCTATTTTGGCCCAATTTTTTAAAAATAATAATAAAAATAATATTTTTTAGTTTTAAAAATATTAGAGGTGTTATATTATGTAATTTTATTATTTGCAAAAGTACGTAAATATTGAGACGTTGTGACGATGTTTCCCTGTTTGGATGTTTATATGATTATTAATTATAATATTACATCAAAATGATTCAAAAAATATTGAAAACAAACACTTCCATATTATAAGATTAAAAATAATAATACCTCTTATAAAACGAAATTCATATCGTATCAACCCTTTATTAATTTTCTTTACTCAACCAAAATTATCACAACCGAACTAACAGTAATATTATATAAAAATTGGACTTATTAGCTTATATTTTATAATAATAATGCCTCTTATAAAACCAAATTCCTATCACATCAACCCTTTATAAAGTTTATTTACTCAACCAAAATTATCATAACCTAACTAACTATAATATTATATAAAAATTGGAATTATTGGTTTATATTTTATAATAATAATGCCCCTGATAAAACTAAATTCCTATCGCATCAACCCTTTATTAATTTTCTTTACTCGACCAAAATTAGCACAACCAAACTAACTATAATATTATAGAAAAATTAAAATTATTGGTTTATACTATACAATCATTTTACTCTATAAATAAAAATAAATTTTTTCTTATAATATCATCTGGTTATTAATATATAATTATTAATTATAATATAATAATAAATATGGATAAATTTTTTTTTAGAAAACACGTCTATATCATAAAAATAAAAATAAAAGCCTTTATAAATTTCAATGTGATAACAATAAAAAAAAATTAAAAAAAAGATTTTCCCTTAGAAAATAGAAAATAAAGGTATCAAAATTCATAATTTTTATTTAAAATATTGAATTACATACTATATTCATCGTATTGTTTATTTTGCAAAGGAATAATGCATTTCCGTCCTAATGATCTAGTATTTTCAACCATCACCCCTATGGGATAACCGAGAGAAAGGGACAAAGTAAAATAGTCCCACAATCCAAACCGCCAAGGGTGAGGAGTGGGTGTCTCATGTCTTGGTCAGTGGGCTCATTAATAATGAATCTAGAGAAAAAAACAATCTACTGGGCCGCCATGTCACTTTCGGGCCGGTAGAAATGTCAACTAAAAGTCTACAAAACCGGTCCGACCCTATCAGTTTGGATAAGATTCCGTCGGATCCCATTCTCTTGAATTTGGATCCGAAAGATGGGTATAAATTCAAAGAGGAAACAGGAAAATAGAGATCAAGTGGGGTCATTAGTATATACCAGATATCTGGTTGTTCCCATGGGATAAGGGTAGTGGGCCTATATATAGTGACATTTGAAGAATTACAATAAATTTACTTATACAAAATACACTTCTTTAAGGTTCAAAATTCATTTTCTTTTCTTTAGTGGTCCATATGATGTATGTACCTACTGAATTCAAAATCCATCTCCAAGATAAATTAACTCCCTTGGTAAAAGAGATATTTCAGATTTTTTTTTTTTTCTTGGAAAAACAACTAATAATAACTAGACGATTATTTGCAAATAACAAAAAATGAATTTTGAGTTCTTCAACACCTAGATCTTGCCCTATGAAAATTAGACATTCCTTTTTCATTATTAAGATATTATGATATTTAGGGCACTGTTTTGGTGAGTCAACCGACTGACCAAAACATGTGCGTGCCCTCATGGATAAGATGTCCATCTTAAAGGCGGACATCAAAAAACGGTGCTTCCACTATTACAACAAAATGGATGGTGGAAAATAATATGCAAGAATGCAATTTTTTATTTTTCCATATGAAAAAATCTCACATTGACAATCATAATTACTGTTTAATTTAACAAATCCCAAAATTTCGAAGCCATATGGATTTTAAAAAGGGGACGCACAGCTACACCGACTCACCAAACATTTACTTTATTACAAACTATATACAACAACATGTTATTTGATAATTTTCTTTTTTTGGGGTTAATTACTGCATTGCTAAGAGGTCATATCCGCGAAATTTGGAGGCCTAAATAAATTCCTAGAGATTTATCCGAGGAAGCAAATGGACAATGTGCTCTCATGGGAGTAGAATATCTTTTTTCTTTAATAAGGGCAACTTTTATTATGACCCCTAATGTCCAAGTTCCTCTAGTAACATATGTTGTCCTCTCTCTCTCTCACACACACACATACAGTGTGTTAAGTGTGTGGGATCATTGTGTTTTGAGTGTTTGTTATAAGTGAATTTGCGGTTAAGTTTGTGTGTTATTATTAGAAGTGGGTCCTAAAACCTATATTGAGGCACACTAATACATTTTCACTCTCAATTATGAAATTTAAAATTTTAAAAAATGTTGTAGATCGAGCAAATCTATAAACATTTAGAAATATTGAAAAATGGAATTTAGATTATATGTTGGAAGATGCAATATTTTTATGACTTAAAATCTATTTTCATTTCCATACATCTTAAAATGATCAATGGGAGCATTCTCGAAGTGAAAACCACATTTTCCAGTTGGTTATGTAAATGCGCCTTAGCATATAAACTTTTTGCATTATACAATTTACAATAAACTTAAATGTTTTTTATCTAGACCACGATTGGTCGGGTCCGGGTCTAAGTCCAACAAGGACATGTGAGCTCGACCCGAACTATTTACATCCCTAAGTGGTGGTGGGAATAAATGGATCGACACGTGTGGAAAGAGACACAAATGGAGTACAAGATAAAGAACATAAGGTGGAGAGAGAGACCCAAATGGAATGCCACTAAGTACATGATAAAAAACCATGGAAGTGGTTTTTTTTTTGGGGGTGGGGTTTGTATGTATAAGGTGTTAACCTTATACTATTGAAGTAAGATGTGTCTCAAAACTATGTTAAAAATACAATTTCAGTGCTCCAAAGCCTTGCAATGATATGAAAATCTATTGTTATCCCTAATTATGAAATTTAAAGTTCTATAAATGATGACAAGCAAGTAGATTTATAAATACTTGATAATATTGAAAATGGACGGTCCAAATAATATGTTAGAAGATGAACTATTTTTAGGATTAAAAATCCTCCTTCTTTTTTTCTTTTTTTTTTCATGTTTATGAATCTTGAGGTTGAGATGATTGATTTTAGGGTTTTCCAACATAAAAACAACATTTCACTAGTGGGTTTTTTAGGTGCACCTTACTCATTCTCGTACAGTATAAGGTTGAGACCTTCCATTAAACTTTTTCCTTTTTTTTTTTTTTTTGTGGGTAGATGAATGAGAAATATATGCTTTTGTCCATTTTCGAAAATAGTTAGCGATTTTTAATGCGTTAGTGGGAAAGGAAATATAGACCAGCAGTTGAGGCTCAAGTGATGCTATTGCTGCCACCATGGCCTTAACCCCATTCGCAAGAGCAACACAAGTTGAAGAGAGGAAAGAAAAAGTTGGGCGCAATGGACGGACTAGAATTTATGCATTTTATTTTGACCAACTTTGCTCTATGGGGCTGAATGTTGGGCGGAGAATGAGTGTAGTGGAGATGAGGATGTTGAGATGGACGAGTGACATGACAAGAAGGAATATAATTCTAAATGAATTCATTTGGGATAATTTAGGTGTGGCACCAATAGGCGATAAGATGAGAGATAGTAGATTTATATGGGCTGGTCATGTGTGGTACCAATCAAGTACAACACCTGTTAAGAGGTACGAGTTAGTTTAAGTGGAAGGACTTGAAAGAGCAAGGGGTAGGGACAAAAGAATGTAGTTTGATGTAGCTCGAACTTATGACTTCATTGTGGTTATGACCTTTAATAGAGCAAAATAACGGATCAAGATTCATACAACTGACCCAATTAATTGGTAAAAAGCTTTGATGATGATTTTGAAAATATATTTGATAGCCTAACAAGCTCACAACTATAGAGTTTCTTGGGTCTCCAAACACACAACTAAAGGGATTTTATGTGTTGAAATTTTGCACAACATATTTGTTTCAAGAAATAAATAATTACTGATATAAACCTTAACCCAAAGTTTGGTTTTTTTAGGTAAGTAGGGGTGAAGGCCCCTACCTATTTTCAATGATGAAAATGAAGAAAATAAAATCCATAGGTTTACAATCTTGCAATAGGAAAATTATGTCAAATCATGAAGTAAAGACAGATAAATGAAATATGGTAGTCTAAAACACCAAATAGTAGTATATGAGAAAGATATTCTATTATCAACCAATGTATCTGCTATCATGTTGGCTTCACATTAGATATGGAAAATACTTCACTTGTGATTTGGAAGGCTATGATGGCAATTGGCTACTACCGTATGAAGAGCCCATGGGCCTTTGTAGAGTTCTTGAACAACATTTACAAGTAAAAAATAATCACTCTCAATTTGAATTAGAAAACTATCAAGTTTAATGGCCATATCAAGGACCACCTTAAAAAAAAACCCCAAAAAAACATGGTAGCATATTATGATCCATATTCATGAAACGATCGTAAGTTTTGTCACCGTTAATCATTTGTGCTGAGAGAGGGAAAAAGTTGTCATGCTCCAGCGGGTCCCTCTTTCTCCATAACCGTCCATCAAGTGATTTGAACAGTGATAAGATTAACAACCATAAACTTTGTATGGTCACATGGATCACTTTATACTACTGTCTTGATGGCAAAGCTGTATATTCTCTCTTTCTATCTCTTAAACCGAGGGGAGATAGAGAAGTTTAAAAAGTTTAGGTTTTTGCAGCGTATGCATGGCCTGAGGAGATAAGAGAGTTAAAAGGTTTGGGGTTTTGCAGGGTATCCATGGTGGGAAGCATGGTCTTTATAACCCCAAACTGTGCTCCTAATACCAGGGTTTGGACCTTCACCCAAATATCTACGTTGCAGAAATGGCATACCCCAATAAATTTATCCACAAAACCATTCATAACACCCACCATTCTCAGCTCAAGCTATGCTTCTAGGGTCTCGATTCTATCAAATAATCGGTTACGATTCCTCTGCAAAATGAGAAATTCAGGTACCTTTTCCACTAACTTGACTTGTTTGATGAATATTTTGAACTTCCAGTGAATTGCTATGGTAATTATACTTGTAATGTTTTTAAGTCCATGTCTGGTTCATATGTTTGGAGCTTTTAGTGTTATGTGAGCTTTACACAGCTGGTTTGATTAATACTTATTTATTGCATCTGGTTTTCCTCTATTTAGTTATTGAATTCATTCATTTGGTAATTATTCTAACTTTCTAAGCCTAATTGTATTGTTAAGCTGAAATATGAACTTCAAAATTGTACATTAAGTGTTTTTCTATTCTGGTTGGATGAAAAAATAAAATTCCTTTGGTTGTTTTTTTAACTCAATTTAGCTTATACATATGATTTTATCATGGGAACGATTTGTTGGTAGTCAATGTATGCGTAATTCTTGATACCTTTCAGTACACATTTCATATTGTGAATTTGGTATTCAGGCAATTGATATAGGGAAAGCCGATAATTCAATATAGTATGTAGGTCTTAACAGGGTAGTGGCAGTGTTACATTACACTGGCATGAATGTCAAAGTCTACAACTGTCGAAGATGTTTAATAATTCATCCTAAAGTTCTGATACCGTAAACAGGTTCATACAATTATCATATATAAATAGAGGAATTATCTACAAAGAGACCATTTATCATTTGTACATGGAGGTCACAACCATTCTTGTCCCGTAAATTTCAAAATGTTTGGTTGTAAGAATGTCATTGAATAGACACAAAGTTCTAAGAAGAAATTCTCGTAATTCGTGACTCACCCCAAGCCATCCAATTTGACATCTAATGAGTGAAAATGAATGTGGCCTCCATGTACAAAAGATAAATAGTCTCTTTGTAGACAATCCCATAAATAAAATATTTTTTTCTATTACTTTTAATATAATTTACTTTCTGTCCCTCATAAAAGTGGACAGGGAGGTCTTATAGTGGTAAAAAATAAGCCAAATTGGCTTGAGTTTGAACCTTACCATGAGCCCCCTCATAGTTTTTAATGATTTTTTATGTACCCAGGCAATGATTTAAAATTTTCCAGCCCAGATTGGGAAACAGGGAAGCAGTCCCTACTGTCCCGCTTCCTTGTTGTAACCAGGAATGGTTCAACTTGGATGGATTTGCCCAGTTCCTTGAGAGCACTGGGGGATTCAGATTGGATTTGCCCAGTTCCCACCCATTATTTTTTTGTTAGTTTTTCTTTCTATTTTTTATTTTTAATTATTTATTTTCTATTTTAAAAAATTTTGTGGACCAATTCTCACTCTAGAGAATCGTAATCGCCAATCTGGACTGGATTTCCAGAAGGCCTGTTGACCTAGCCGGTCTGGGTTTTGAAACACCGTACCTAGGTGTTCTCTAGTGTCGACACATAATACTAGGCAAAAGGTGAATTGTCACAATACTGCTGGGTGATCATAGGAAATCTATAGGCTGAGATTTCAGAGCTATACAAATACTAAGCATATCATTACAAGAAACTTTGTTAATGTGTGTAAAATATGAGTGCAATATAAGTTGAACGCATTGACAAATTCCATTGACTCATACTCAAATTCAGAAGGTTATTAAAATGCCTCATCCATAATTTGATTTGAGAGGTATATGCATATACAATGGCACTACTACTACTAAACAACTACCACTACTAGTACTACCCCCTGACAAAGTTACCTGGTTAGAAAGGTCTTTCTAACCAAGTAGCTTTATGTAGTAGTAGTGGTAGTTTTGTCAGAAAGGTCTTTCTAACCAATTAGCTCTTCTCCTTGACAAAGATACCTGGTTGGAAAGACCTTTCTTTGAAACTGAAATTTTAGCTGCCATTTCAAACCTAGACTCAAATAGGGCCCCTGGAACCTACGGGTACCCCATTGCACCCTTCAAACACTTTTGGGAATCTTTTAGAGATGACTTTCTGAAACTGTTCGATGAATTTTTCAATAGGGCCCTGAATGCCACCTTCCTCACTCTTATTCCCAAGATTGAAGGGGCTACCCAACTGAAAGACTTCTGCCCTATAAACTTGGTAAACTCTACCTACAAGATCCTAGCCAAAGTCCTTGCCTCTCGTCTCAAAGAGGTTCTCCCGCTTGTCATCTCCACCTCACAAAGTGCCTTCATTAAAGATTGGCAAATTCTTGATGGGGCCCTAGTTGCCCACGAGTGTATACACTCCAGAAATTTGGCCAATGTCCCAGGTATTGTGGTCAAGCTGGATTGAGAGAAGGCTTACAATCACGTAGACTGGAACATCCTAGAAGAAACTTAGGCCAAGATGGGTTTTGGGATTAAATGGAGAACATGGATGAAAGCGTGCTACTCTTACCCACACTGCTCTATCCTCATAAACGGCAGCCCCAAGGGTTTCTTCCCTTCAACAAGAGGCCTTAGACAGGGAGATCCCCTATCTCCCTTTCTTTTCGTTATTGCAACTGAGGTCTTTAGTAGGTCTATTTAGAATGTATGCGGCTGGACGATTGCATGGATTCTCAGTCGGACCTTGGGCTCCCAAAGTATCTCATCTCCAGTATGCAGATGATACTTTGGTATTTTGCAATGCCACTTTCGAAATGATCCATAACCTCTTCATGTTTCTCCGGTGCTTCGAATTCGCCACTGGCTTCAAGTGAATTTTGACAAGACCAAGATGATGGGTGTTAAGCTTGATTCAATCACACTCTCTAACTTTGCCGAGAGGTGGGGTTGCGAGGCTGAATCACTGCCATCTAAATGCCTCGGACTGCCACTTTGCATAGGCAAACCAAAATCGAGACTGTGGTCTCATATCATAGACAAAGTGGACCGTAGACTTGCAGGACGGAAAGACCGTTTTCTTTCTCCGAGAGGAAGGCTAGCACTGATCAAAGCCACTATGGCCAATATCCTGGTCTACCAAATGTCCATCTTCCACATGCCTGTGGCAGTCAGTTTCAGAATCGAACTCTTAATGAGAAGGTTTTCTGGAGCAGAGATGGAACCAATAACAAATTCCATCTTCTTTCTTGCGACAACCTCTGCCAGTCTAGGCATGGGGGAGGATTGGGGATCAAGAATCCTAGAACTCAAAATTTGGCTCTACTGGGTAAATGGTGCTGGCGCTTGACGAACCTCAGGGACGAGTTGTGGATTGACATACTCAAACATAAGTACCAGTGCTCTATTACACCATGGCTGCCGGACTGCAGGACCAATCAAAGATCCTCTGGCATTTGGAGGTCAATATGTTTTGCCTTCCATGCCTTCAAATCTAGAATCAGATTCCACCCGAGTTCGGGGAACTGTATCCTTTTTTGGCAAGACCTATGGTTAGGTCACGCACCTCTTAGGGACAGATTCCCCAAACTCCACTCTCTGGCTAGAAATCAAGGGGCCACCATAGTGGACAAAATGTTACGGGCAGGGTTCACTCGCTCGTGGAACCCAGTCTTTAGGAGGGCTCTCAACGACCATGAGATTGAGAGCTTTTCAACTTTGGCAGCAGAACTCCAAACCACCTTCTTAGCACCCACAGGCCCAAATGGAATCATTTGGACATCTGCACCCTCTGGACTCTTCACAGTGTCATCCTTCTATAAAAGCTTTACTCTACCTCCAACACTCCCCTTAGCTCCTGCTGCTATTGCCGCTGCTTGGGACTCCTTCGCCCCCTCCAAAAATTAAAATTTTCAAGTGGTTGGCTCTCTCCCAAAGAGTCCTCACTGTGTGCCTAACGGCTGAGGAAACAAACAACCACCTACTGCTGCACTGCCCTTTTGCCTACAATTTATGGGGGGCAATTCTAAAACTCTTCAAAGTTCAGTGGGTTTTACCGGCAGTGGTAACCTCAATCCCCTCAGCCATTAAACCCTATACTTCTTGGGAGATCCTCGGTGGCAGCCAACTTATGGGCCATATGGATCGAGCGAAACAACAGAACGTTCAGGGGGGGGATTACTCCTTTTGGACTAAGGTTTCGACAAACAGTCCTTCATTATCTTCTGGGCCACCAAGCACCACTATTACAGTGGAATTCCAGCCTCGGTGTTAGCCAGGATTGGTGCAACGTCCTTCAAACCCATCGAGTGCGTCTACTTAGGCCACTAGGTGGAAACCCCCACCATTAGGACAACTCAAACTGAACTTTGATGGATGCTCCACTGGGAATACCGGCCCATCAGCAGTAGGAGCCATCCATAGAGACTACATGGGATCCACTCTGGTCACGGTCTCCAAATTCATTGGCCATGCCAGCTCCATGGAAGCTGAAGCACTAGCACTGTTAGAAGGCTTAAAGCTTCTAGACCTTCTCCACTTAAATTCTATAGCGGTAGAGGGAGACTCCAAGAACACTATTTCTCGGGCTAAAAAAATTTCTTCCCCCCCATGGTTCCTGGCGCACGTGTTTGATGAGATTGATCACCTATGCAGGAATATGTCTGTCGTGTGGATGCATACATGGAGGGAAGGAAACCAGGATGCTGATACATTCGCCAAAGAAGCAGTAGAGATGGCAAACAACTGACATGTTTTGGGGTTTTGGACTTTTTTGGACAGTCCTTAGTCTTTTCTTTCTGATCAACCAGTTTTATTAGGTTGCTTTGTTCCATTGTAACCTCCTAAAAAAGGACTTGATTCTTCTTTTTTGGCTCTTATCTTCCTTGAGCATCCTACTCGAGGATCGCCAAGGCATTTTGTACTTATCTCTTTTTTCTTCTATTAAAGGTTAACATTATCAAAAAAACTACTACTATTACCACTACTACTCTACAAAATACTTATCCTCCTCCTGCTGTTGCTGCTGCTGATGCCACCACATCCAACTGTTACTATCCTTCCTCCCCCAATCACTATGCATAAGCACATTAATATAGTGCTCATTATGAATGAATGAAGACAAACTCACAAGATCTGCATAAGCACATTAATATAGTGCTCATTATGAATGAATGAAGACAAACTCACAAGATCCGCATAAGCACATTAATATAGTGCTTATTATGAATGAATGAAGACAAACTCACAAGATCATAATGTATAACATGTAACATGTACTGATTTACACAGTATTCCATGCTGCAAATACCACAAAATGGCTGACTCATTTTTCAATTTACTTGGGTTTGACCTTGGATTCTTTGTGTGTCCACTACCTGTGACCTACTTCTAATCTAGGGACCATGTTTAAAATCCCTCTGGCTATCAATTAGGGGATAGCTCCCTTTCCTTCAAATTGTGACGAAACAGTAGGAACATTTCATTGATCTAGTTTAATGGAGCTACTTTTGAAGCTGCGTTACTTGCTAGTTAAAGCTTTATGTGTGGACGTTATCACTAATTTAACTTGAGAAATTTGCTCGTGAACTCTTTAGATATGATTTCGCAACTAGAACTTGAGAAACCAGAAGATGGCAGAGCACCTGGCAAACGGGTTAATGGAGTATTCTGGATCCTTCTTCTGAATATTGGCATCTATGTGGCAGACCATTGGTTTCAGGTACAGAATTTCTTCAACTGGTTCTGTAGACTCTCTACTGCTCAAAAATTTCAACTTTGTATTGTTCAAAAAATTCCATATTTTTTTTTCCATCTCCTATGACTCCAAAATTTCCACAAGCACAAATTCCACTTTTTATAGACCCAAAGGTTATTTTGCAAAACAACACATATTTTCCAATTTATTGCTTTTGTAGTGGAAAATACCGGGTTTTTTCACTTCTCAATCATCTCTCGTTAGGTGCTTCCAATAATTAAGCTTTCACAGCATTTATGTTTCAGTAATGTCTGAAAGAAAAATAATTTTCAGTAGCTTTTATTATAAGGACATACAATAGTTTTTTTGGTTAAGGGAAAGAGTATTATAATCTAACAGACTCTGGAAAACCCTAGTCCATCTGTGTCATGACTGTCCAATGCAATGATTGACGGTGATGGAGAGAAAGTAGGACCCACCAGAGCAGGACATTACCCATGGGGTTTCCCACTCTCTCCAACACCATCCATCGTTTCATCAGATGTTGATAAGTCCAATCGGCATGGTTTGACATAGACTATTTTTATAGAGTACTCCATACTGATAATGTTGTTTTAATGAACATGAATTGTTTCTCTGTTTGCTGATGGTCAGTTCGTTTGTTTTTCTCTCTCAGCTTCCAGATGTAAAAACATTATATTTTTACCACAGTTGGCCACGCTGGTATCAGTTTGTCACTGCTACATTCTGCCATGCTGACTGGTAAGGCCAATCACTTTGATGGTTGTAACAATAGTGCTTGGGACTTATATCACTAGAAGTTTTTATACTTTGTGATGTGGATGTTAGATTAGAGGGAAGCTAGGAAAATGCCACTGATTAAAGAATTCTAGTCAAAAGCAAAATGGCAAAGGATTTTTTAATAAAATGGAAGGACTGCACTTATATTTGTAAAAGTTGACAAAATAATTGTTGAATGTTTTAAGGGGATTACTAAATTCTGATTTCTGACAAGACAGGTTTATGTGTGCGCCCCATTCGATAGAGCCATTTACTCTTCCTTCCGCCACAGACATGTTTGTCTGCACGTGACTGTGTGTGTGTGCAAGAGAGAGAGAGAGAGAGAGAGAGAGAGAAGAGAGAGAGAGAGAGAGAGAGAGAGAGAGAGAGAGAGAGAGAGAGAGAGAGAGAGAGAGAGAGAGAGAGAGAGAGAGAGAGTAGAGAGTAGTAGAGTAGTAGTAGTAGGTAGGTAGGTAGGTAGGTAGGTAGTAGGTAGGTAGGTAGGTAGGTAGGTAGGTAGTAGTAGTAGTA